ATCATCTATCTATCATCCATCCATCCATCCATCCATCCATCCATCCATCCATCCATCCATCCATCTATCTATCATCTATCTATCTATCTTGTGAAAGTGACATAGTTAATGCTTGTCCTTGCTAAAATGTGTAGACCAGTCAGGGTTTATAGATATTTTAAGTGAAGGATTGGTCAACTTTGTATTTAAATGTTTACTACAAGAATAATGTTTCTGCTCTAATGGGATTGAATTGGGCTTCTCTACTGGCATTTGTTATTGAGCTTTTTGTTTTCTAGTCTATCCTGTTTTTTTCATTCCCTTATGTAAGAGTGATGTTCCAAAATAACAAATGAACACTGGATAAAATGGACTGGAGCCCAGGGATACAGAAATAACATCCTGCAGCTAATTAGATTAACAACATGCTATCATTTATATGAGCTGCTGGTTGTATATCAACACTGCAATTCTTTAAAGTAGCAGTTTAACTTGTTCAAAAGATAAGGATGGAACAGTAGATGTTCCACTTATACACACAGAGGATAGCTTTACAGATTAAAAAGCTACATTTGTCATTTCAATTTTACACCCAGTATTAGATAGTTTTTCCTTCCTTATTTTGATCTCTTCCTGCTCAGAAGGTAAGAGATCAGGATAAGAAAAAATCAACTACAATATTAATCAGATCAAGTCTTCAGATAACAGAAGTATTGCTTAAAGAGAACAAGAGAAAATATACTTTTAAAATAGCCAGATGATGCAATTATTTAATAATAGAGATTATTTAATAGTTACGTGCTTGTAGAAATACATTGCTGTCATCCTTCATTCTTTTGCAGATTTCAGCAATCTGAAAAACATTTGCTTTAGTCTGTCAAACTTTTGACAGAATTAAAACAATTTATATGATTTGTGAATTAAAATCAGTATAAGAATTAAAAACTGCCAGACCAAGAAACATGAAAAAATTACTGTGGAGAAACTATGGATTATTCTCATATTTCCTGTACATATTTTGTTGAGGACAAAAGTTTCTTGCATGGGGATGAAATGGAAGGGGGAATTGAGACTTCACCAAAATGGAAAGATTCTAACAGTGGCTGTTAGATGAAATAATAATCTCCCTAAGGAATGAGAGAAGATCAATTCTTTGAATAATTTATAAATAGGATGGACAAAGTATTCAACACACTATAATGAAACTGTCAGGTGAAAGTAAAGGCATGTGGCGCTATTTATTATGCTGTTCTTTTTAAAAAAAATATTATTTCCAAGGTTAAAATACACAATCAACAAAAAAAATACAATACAAAACAAAAAAGCTGTCTTTTTTCATTTGTATTACTCTTAATAATACTTATATTAATAATACTTATATACGAGAAAGAATATGACCTTTTAACTCTGACTTATACAAAGTTCTATGAAAATATACTTACTCCTTTATGGATTTTCTGAATGTTTGCATATCTTTCCCTTAAATATTATCAGTGAAACTTAATCTGAGTCCTAATGGTACATTAAGGAAATACGATATGAAAGCAAAGAACACTAGAGTTGGTGCTTGTTCCATTTATATCATATCATATTTTCCCAAAATATAATGTTCCAGTGTGAAAAAGCAATAACCCTCCATACAGTTGATTCAATTCTCACTATAGCCGATTTATATTTCAAACAATGAGAACTGATTTAGGGCAGCATAGTCCTATATACAAATATTTGCTTCTCATCAAAGCAATGCCCTTCCTATGTTGAAATTAAGGGGATGACATATTCTACTTGAAGCCTTGATATGTCTAAAGGATAGCTTTCTGAATATTAATTATAATTCATGTACAGTTTTCTCTTTGAATAGCAATAGTACTTAGATTTATAGTGCTTTATAGTACTACAAATTCCAATATATTGCTCCCAATAATTTGTATCCTCATTTTGCCAATCTCAGAAGAATGGAAGGCTGAGGCAATCCTGAGCCGCTCAGGAATGAACTCCTGGTGGTGGGCAGAGTTAGTTGCAATACAGCATTCTAACCACTGCACCAGCACATCTCCATTAATGCATATGCCTTCATTTAAATAAGTAGCAACTTTCCTAGCAAGTTGTGATAATGATTTCATATTTATTATCCTAAAATGTTAGCACCTTTCACTTTTGATGCTCATCCCCAGAGTCCTTAACTAAAAGAAAACCATAATTATAACTAACATTTTATTTTTCCAATTACATTTTAGCATTGTGTTTTGCATTGATAAGTAAAAAAAAGTTTTGTAAATGTTGCTTAACAAAAATTTTGCCTTTCAGGAAATATGGCTCATGAAGTTGCAATTGATTTTGAAATCTTGAGAATTGCAGTTTTGTCTGCCAATTTCCTACTTTTCCATATTTACATTTTGATTAATTTCAATTAAGAATCTTAAATTGGATTTATGAGTTTTGGTGCTCCATTAGTTAAAAACACTTTTTTTTCTGGATTTCATGAGAGAAAATGATTTGGAAATAACCTCTTTTATAACTTGTGTAAAACAATATTTAAAACAACCAAAACAAGAGAAAACTAATTAAAATGTTCTTGTATAATCTACAGAAGCCTATCTAATAGCAAAAGCAACTATCATGGACTATTTTATGTTTGTTTTCTTATGCTAAATAAGTGTGTTGCTCTTTTCATAGATTGGGGATACTATATTAGCCACAACAAGGATACAGATACATTAAACTAGGGTGAGCAATAGATTTTTCCAAGGAGCCACACAAGAAAACTGGGACTGTTGTGGAGGGCCAAACCAATAGGGCTGTGAAGGTGCATGGGCATGCACACACAGACACAATTGGGGGAAAAAAATAGCAGTTGCCTTCAAAATAAAAGCAATCCACAAAGGCCAGAGAAGGAAGCTAAAAGGCTAGATGTCACCTGGGGGCCATAAAATGCCCAGGTCTGGAATAAACTCAGCAACCATTTTAATTTTCTATGGATGCTTAAAAGTCTAAATAAAAGTTTGAAATCTAAAGATCTGGATAATTTTTGTAGTTTACATAACATGCAATTTATGTGTTACCTGTTTCAGTAGCTGCCTTTCTTTGGAGGATTGGGATCTTTATGAGATAATATGGGATGCCTATGATAGTTTTTATATAGGCATGTTTCTAAGTAAGCCTCCAAGGAAAGTCTGTACAAAAGAACTTTGGCCATTTTCTTAAATTTGAATCTGTGTTGGATCTCTTCATGACCTCTTCCACAGATCTTTTAGAATCATGCATTGATCATTATCAGTCAGTCAGTGTAACAACTTGAAAGTTAAATCTCCATCTTTCGGTAAGGGAAAAATTATTCTAATACTAGGATACTAAATTATTCTAATACTAGCTAAAAAGTGCCATATAAATTAGAAAGTTGTACTCTTGTGAGAATTTTATCTTTATTCCAAACATGTAACCTTTTTTGGGGGGAGGGTTAAGTACTCATTTTTATAGAAATAATGATGTGAGCTTTCTCCATTCCTAATCAGCTCATGCTTTGATAAGCATAATAATTACTTTTCTGGAGGTTGCCTTCTAACAAAAATACCAAACATGAACTTCGATATATTACTAGATTTTATACTATTACTTCAGTTCTGGGTGTATTAACTAAAATATAAAGTATATATGGGCCAGGATAGATTACTTTACTTATCAAAACATGCACGATGATATTAAGACAGCTTTTAATTAGACATTTTCTTTTTTTAGGCTTCTCCCACGGAACGTCGGATTACTTTATGTTGGAAGTTTAGATAGACCTTTTGCAGAAATTAAGGTAATGACAATTAACTTTATAAGTTTTTGCCTCGTTAAAATTATGCTGCTGCTGTGTGTGTGTGTGTGTGTGTGTTGTATCATTCATATGCTCAGCATCTGCAACTTTGTAAGAAATAATCAACTTATTTTAAAACATTTTGATAACGTATTTACACTTTATGTTCTTTACTTTCTTAAATCCATTCTTTTTCAGACATTTGGTAGAATTAGTGTATTCGAATACTGATCTTTTTCATGAGGATTAAATAATTCCAGATTAATCTCTATATTAGGAGCCCTGGTGGTACAGTGATTAGAATGCAATATTGCAGGCTAACTCTGCCAACAGTCTGGAGTTTGATCCTGTCAGGGTTCAAGGTTGATTCAGCCTTCCATCCTTCTGAGGTTGGTAAAATAGGACCCAGATTGTTGGGAGCAATATGCAAATAATGCTTTAACATTGTAAGCTGCTCAGAGAGTGCTGTAAAACACCATGGGGTGGTATATAAGCCTAAACGGTATTACTATTGCTGTAATTATTGTAGAGAGAATAATAATTCTGTCACAAAGAGGAAGACAATAGCTGTTTTCACTGTTGCTTCCTAGCATCTTATATTTAAGACATGCTGCCTCAGTTCTAGGTGTACTAAAGAGTTATCAAGGTTGGTACCATTAATAGCCTAGTACTCTTATTTATTTATCCAATCCTCTTTCAAAACTGACCAAATTTCTGGTTATCAGTTGGTCTGTTGTCAGCGAATCCCATAGTTTAGCTATGCATTGTATAAGCAATGTTTAACTTCTGGATGTCAATACATTTTATTTTAAGAAATGATCCTAAATTTTGAGAGGGAGAAAAACGACTCTAAATTTACAGATAGTGTGTTTTCCTCTGAGAAAGATTGAAATAGTATCATCCCCTATTATTATTAGCTGTTTTGTTATGTACATATTCCATTTTAAGTGATCAAATCTTTATACACATGCTCCAGGGATATGAGCATAATTAATCAGGTGGTTTTTGATACTCTTTTTCTCTCTCTTCATCATTCAGATTCCTTTAACAATGTTATGAAAATATTTAATTTTTCTGTAACAGTTTCCAAATCTTTATCATTTACTTCTTTAATAAAGCAATTAGAAGAGTATCTTTTAAGGGAAACTTTATCTTATAAGAGAAAATTTCCACACCAAACGAGAATCCTGTTGGAATGATACCAAGATCACCTGGCTATGATTAAGTCAAAGACAAAGTTAATACAACATTTTAAAAATATAACACTAGCATGATCATTTAATTTATAGGAAAGTGACTGGAATCTTGTCTGAATGAAATTGCTTTCAGATCATTTCATGTTGAAATAACAGATCTGCAGGATTTAACTGTTGATTTCCATAATAACGTTTGAATGTGAGATAGTTAATAGAAGACATATTTCATAGTTGCCAACCTTGGCTACTGAAAACATATCATAATTAGTCTTTGGAGATTATGTTTATTCTTTTGGTATACTGCAGCCAGATGAAAAGATATAAAACTGAGAGCATGTGATTCAATCTATCTCTTCTTATTGTAGAATGTTCCTATGCAGGCAAGTATTATACCATAGGGAAAGGAGAACTGGTATCGTTCCAATCTGGGTCTTTGTTAGGACCAGAAACCAGCTCATGCATACTATTACATATAATTATCATAAAATTATGGGCTAGAAATGGAAGAGTCATGCTGTTGCATTTTAGACAGCATATTCGTAATAAGCTGTAATAAAATAAGCGTTTTGAATTGGATATAAGAATAGGCCTTACTCGCAATTACAAATGTGTGTTCAATTGAAATATTTTTGAAGCTCAATTTAACAAAGCAAACACATTTTCTGGCAGTTTAGCATAATTGTTCCCAGGGTTGAAATCTCGTTTGATTTAAAAAAAAACAACACTTGAATAACTGCTGGGAAGCAAAGCACAGTTGAGGAAAACTATTTCAATTACCTGGTTTTTCAGTTTTATGTGAAACAGTAAATAACTAAGTTTCAAAGGATTCCTGTTTATTTTTTCCATACTTTAGATGTGATTTAAATGATTCGTTCATATGTAGAAATTGTCATTTTAATGAGACATTTTAATTCTATATGCTATATATATAGGACATTTCACTTAATATACAGGGCAGACCGCCGTTAACATCAAGCGAATATACAGTGAGAGAATTGAAATCTATATTTGCTCCTTGATAAGCACACCAATTTTATATCTATGGATTTATAAGTCACTTTCATTGATTTTTAAGTATATATTTAAAATGACAAGCAATGCCTTGTCATTCTTTTTCAGGAACATTACAAATGGTAGACTCTAATATTGTGTTAGCAAGAGTTCTACTTTCTGTGGCCCTGCAAATTATTTATAATATATTTGGCAGGGGAGTGCAGGAAACAGGAGCATTTTCCCTTCCAGTTCTTTAGAAGAAAATGCTTCTGTTAGCACATACATAATCAGTTTGCCTCCTCTGTTCCCCATCAGCAGCAAGCCACCAACATTCAGTGGAATGATGCACTGCTGATTTTAGCATACAGTTAAGGAGAAGGAGTTGAAAGAAGCCTCCTATACTGTTAAAACATCTTTAAAAGCGTAATTACATTTCAGAGATTTGGTCCCTGCCTTTCTAGTAGCATCATCACATTGCCCTTCTTCCCTGCAGCCATCAGCTACGAAGTAAACAGAGTCCCAGGCACCAAAAGAAATGGATTCCCTGCTGTTTTAACAGAAACATGTATTGGATTTCCTCCATGCTATGCCAACTGAGAGGCTGTGTTTGACGAAGAGGGCCTACATTGTTTTATTATCTAAAAGGATTTAAAATGATGAAGGACAGCATCTTTTAAATTAAAGAATAGAATGAAAGAATGTATTATCTTATATCTCTGAATTGCTCAATTACTGCGGTAGTTCAGCTGTTCTTACATCGTGATTTGGGGGCAGTTTTGCAAAATATATCTGACAGTTATTTTTAAAATATATTTGGGCTATATTATTATGTAAACATTTACAGATAAAGAGTCCTTTTTTCTTTTTGGGGATTCTTTTTATATATGATTATATAAAGAGAAAATAGAGTTGAGTAGCGTAGAATAGAACAGAACAGAATAGAATAGAATTCTTTATTGGCGAAATGTGAGTAGGCACACAAATAATTTGTCTCTGGTGCATAAGTTCTCTGTGTACATACAAGCAACAAGTGACAAATCATAATCATAAAATACAATCATCATAAATCATAGGATACAAATTCAATGATAGTCATAGGATACTAACTAAGCAAACAGCATAAATCATAATATGATACTAAATAAAGGCAATCAACATAAATCATGAGATACAAGCAACAAAGTTATAAGATGCTAAGGAAATAGGTAATAGGAAAGATGAGAAGGATAATAGGTAATACAGTCCTACTATGTGGTTTGATATCCTAGGACCTGTCTAGGTAATAGACAGTGTTGTGGGAATCAGTTGTTTAGCATAGTGATGACATGAGGGGAAAACCGGTCCTTGTGTCTAGTTTTTGCATGCAATACCCTATAGCGTGATCTTGAGGGGAGGAGTTGAAACAGGATTTGAGGGATCTATAGATATTTTCACAGTCCTCTTTCTGGCTCGTGCAGAATACAGGTCCTCAATGGAAAGCAAAGGCCCTGGAAAAAGTGACATGACTTTTTCCAGAGGAAAAAGGAGAAAAAGGTGATGGCCTTGTCTAGTAATGTAACAAGTGGCCCTTGAAGATTAATTTTTTTTTAAAAAACAACCCACACAATGTAGTCTATTTCCAAAGATTGCTTGTTCCTGTTTTAATGGATAAAACAAGCAGAGAATTCTGGAGGATCTGCTTTACAAAACAAGAACAATTTTTTTACTGATGAATCTAAGCCATCCTAATTTTTACAACAATGTTACTTTCTGATATTACTCAGTCGTGATTTGTAGGTTGGACCAGTAATTATAGTAGATAGCGATCACATAAATTACATGGGGGGGGGGAAGGAATGTTTTCTCTCCCTCCCCTCTTTCCAAGCATATTCAGGATAATTATAGTAACATGTCATTGTTTAAACTGATCAGCACTTTCTGTTAGGAAAATGCATTTAGGTCGTTGTTCTGGCAGATGTTATCATTTTCTGGAAAGAACTTCCAGATTGTTAATGAATGGCCAAGCAAGTACATAGATAGTTAGTTAATCCCACTTAATTGTCACAGTGAAATAGAGCAAGCACATAATTTTCTGCTATTTTAATTCTGTGAACACCATAAGAATGATAAATTGTGACACAGCCTTATAGAAATGCTGATTTGTGAAAGTCATTGACTACAATAAACTTTCTTCCCTTTCCTTTTCCTTCTCAAACAGGTGGTTCACTAACATCTTTTCCTCCTTCAATAAGGAAATGGATGGATGGGCTTAGCTAGCTAGAGATAAATTTTACCTGGCAGTTATTACCAGTTAATATGCATTTTCAAGTCATTACATAGCCTAACATTTTTTCTGTTGGCAATCATATTCCCACCCCACTCCAGGGGAAGGATATTGTAAAATCTCCATTCCCTCCCCACTTCAGGGGAAGGTTACTGCAAAATCCCCATTTCCTCCCGATCAGCTGGGACTCAGGAGGCAGAGAATTGATGGGGGCAGTGCCAGTCAGAGGTGGTATTTACTGGTTCTCCGAACCACTGAAAATTTCTGCTACTGGTTCTCCAGAATTGGTAAGAATCTGCTGAATACCACTTCTGGCTACAGTGGTGGTGATATGAATTACTGGTGCATGTACAGATAGCTGGGGTGGGTGGGGCGATAGGGTTAGAAGGAAGCACTTGTGATGATTAAATTGAAATAAATTTAAATTACTACAGAAATGATAATTTAAAATTAAAGAGGATGGGAACAAATTTGGAAGTTCATTTGAGAATTCGTAAAATTTCCTTAGAACAAAAAAATACCTTGCTGCTTCAACACTAGTGTTACTAGTTACTAGAGATACTAGTTAAGCTGAAATACTTCTATAGGCATGAAGCAGGCATTGGAAACCCTGGCAATCTACTATACTGAGAAACAATTTATAATCAATTATGATAAATCCAAAGTTCTAGTTTTTTTCTAACAAAAGACAAACACACGTGAACAATTGGTTCCCATGGATTAGAGCAGGTCAGATGTTTTAGTATTTGGACATAGTATTTCAGGCCTCCAGGAAATTAACCACCCAGTTAAATTATGCCACTTCTACTGCTCAAAAGAGCACACAAACAATAATCAAATTTTATAGGCAACAGGGCATATTACATTCCAGGAGCAGCTAAATTGTTTACAGCTAAAACAGTTGCCCAACTATTCTATGGGATACAACTTGACCACACACAAAACCAAGTGTTTATGAAGCCATTGAAATTTCCTTAGCATTTCGTTCAGTAAACCCAGTGCAGTATTGAGGCTTGAAGCTACTGTACTAAGTATTAAGACAGGCCTAGGATTCTAATCTTAGTATTTAGAATCAAGTTTGATCCTACAAGGGACACGGTGGCTCAGTGGCTAAGACACTGAGCTTGTTGATCAGAAGGTTGGCAGTTCAGCAGTTCAAATCCCTAGCACTACATAACGGAGTGAGCTCACAAGAGCCAAGGTGGCGCAGTGGTTAAATGCAGCACTGCAGGCTACTGCTAGATCAGCAGTTCAGCGGTTCAAATCTCACCGGCTCAGGGTTGACTCAGNAAAGAGTTTATTTCCTATTTTGTTTCTGTTTGCCTTTCCTTCCCGACATTGTGGGTAATTGTATGATTACGGATCTATTTTGTTGCATCAAATGCTTGTCTGATCTTTGATCACATATAATTAAGTATGAGACAATGGCGATGATAATGCAATAAATTCAAAAGTTAGTGACCAGTATGAAAAAAAAAGTTGGATTTTTTTTTTGAATTACAAGAGTGTCTTTGAGGCCATATACACCCAGTGTTATCTACCCCTCCAATAATTTATTCCATTGATTTTCTGAAACAGGTTGATTTGTGTCAGTGTTCAACATAGGCTGGGAAAACAGAATAGCAAGCAATACGGCAAAATCATTCTTTTCTCTGCAAGGATAGTGGTAAGAAACACAGCATTTAAAATAGCTGCAATCCATAGCCAGAGACTATATTTCAAATTGCATTGATAGAGCTCATTTTCAGAGAAGATTGGAGAAAAGAAACTAAAGACAACTGACAGATCCCAGCTAATAAAAATTGCTGCCCAGCAGACAAAATGGGAAATGAATTAAGCTGCCTGCTTAAAGAAAATGATTAAAAAGGGGTCATTCCTGCTAATGACCAGTCATGGTACCTTATACAGAGACAAAAAGGCAACCAGCATTTCTATGTATATTTCAGACCACCTGACTAGTGGCAATAAAAATAATAACATTAGCAATCTTTAGAAATTTTTATGAAAGGACCCACATCTATCTCCACAAGCCCTTCAAAAGGAAACAAAAAAAGGAACAAGCAGTGGGGAATAGTTTCTAGGCTACGAATCTCCCTGCGTATACATTAGTTGTACGTTTTAGAGAGAGAATCTTAGCCTTGCTACCTATGGGCTTTTTAACATGCCATTTTTCTCTTCTATACTGTGTTTGATGTACTTGCCTATTTGCAACAGCTACGCTAAGTATCAAGGCTCTGTTAATAATAGATGAATAAACAAGTTGGAAATGGGCAACTCTTTCTAAAGGTACTGCTGAGAATGAAATGCTTGTCACATAGCCAAGAATCTCTGGAAGAGCCAATTACATCTAAAAGCAGAATAATGGAAGGTCCCACAGAAGCAGATCACTCAGAAAGATGAAAACAACTTTTTCCAAATTTAACACAAGGTAGAAAATAAGCTCTATTTTTACCTATCGGACTAAAATAGACTGCTAGTTAAGGGGAATAGATTAACTAGCAGTCTACTCNCCCAGTAAGGGTATGGCTAGCTGATGAGAGCTAAATAGCTTGAAATAGATCTATACTACTCTCCCTTTATTTATTTATCAGCACAATTGCAACACGTATGTATGTATGTATGTATGTATGTATGTATGTATGTATGTATGATGTGTGTGTGTGTATACTTATATACATACATACACACAAACTCATAAATTGAAATTTAACTTGACTGCTTTCTGCTTTTATCATGTCTCTTGTATCTTTGAAGTACATAACATGTTTGTAGCAAGTAATTTGGTACTGAATGATCCGAATGTAAGAAAAAAAAATGACTTTCTCTTTTCATTTGCAACCCAAAAATCTTTAAAAACAGGTAACAAAAGACTTGAAGCAATATGATAATAAAATAATAGAATGCAAGTTTGAAAACAACAGCTGGGTTTTTATGAGACAAAGGATAGACAAAAGTTTTCCCAATGCTTACAGTACAGCGATGGGTAAGTGCAACAAATTGGTTCTGTATCTGCATTTTTTTAATTAAACTTTAACCAGTAAAAATAACCTTTTTTTTTTTTTGCAAAGACTCTTAAGATTCATAATTTGAGTTCTCTTGGCTTCAATAAAAATAGGAGTTCAGAATCGCAGTTTGACTCATGCATATTTAAAAATGAAATGTGGACTGGCATGGAACATTCATATCAAGTGGTCTTCTCTTGTCTGGCACTTTCAATTGTATTCAAATTAAGACAGCCATTACTCAGTGAAAATTTCTACATCCTAAAGTAACGTGCAAAGCATGGGAAATAAAAAAGATTAACATTACAAAAAATGGTTGTTTATGTAGTACGTTCCAATTTCCTTACTACTATTAAAAATAATCTAATAAACAAAATAAGACAATAAGATTCTTCCCAAGGCAAATGCTTAAAAATCATTACAAATTATTATTGTCGGTGTTGAATAGATCGAGCCAAAACTTAACAAAAGTTACAACAAATATTTAAGTACCAAAAAATATTTAAGTACCATGTGATGCTACCTTTTATTAACAACTCACTGATATTTATGTATACAACCATAGTTACATGCCTTTCATGATTCAATATTTGTATAATTTAGGTGTCAATACTTTCCACAAAAACATGAAATTGCTTACAAATATGTACTTTTCTCCAAATGTTGCTTGTACATGCCTAAACAAAATGCAATCATTACAATTAATAGAAAATATTTAAATTTGTTTAAAAGGTTTTAATTGCTTCTTAACAGTAACGAGTTAACCTTTTTTTAACATTTAAAGTTTTTTATTTTTTCATTTTCATAACATATAATCACATGTATACTATTACACAGCCAACCTCGTATTGTATTATTAAATATTTACATCAATTCATCTTACCATCAACTCCCAAAAATGATTATTGGCTCTTCTGCTCTCCATACACCATACTTGTACTGTATCCATCACTTTCTTCTCCCTCTCTCTTCCCCCTTCCCTACCTCCTTTCTTCCCTTGGTCATCCTTCTCTACTTCCCCTTCCTCTTTCCTTCTCCTCTCTCCCCTTTCCACTCCTCCTTTCTCTCCTCCTTTCCCCTCCACCCTCTCTTCTTCCCTTACCTCTTTCCTCTGCTTCACACTCTCCATCTCATTTGCTTGGTGTATTTTAGTTTCTAAGCGAGCTCCATTTTATATTAATGGTATTTATAATTCCTTTTCAATATACGTATTTAATTTTAACACATATCTTCCTCCTTTTTTTAAAGAAATAGAACAAAAAAAGTATACATATATAGTCATTGTGCCTTTAACCCCCTTTCCCCCCAGCCTATTTTTGGCTGAGATGTAGACCTGGTTACAATTCCCAGCAATTCTCATCATTATATTTATATAATTATACATCCTTATGCACCCCCAATTTGTGCTTCTGTTAACCTTTAGACCAATGTTTCCAAAAACACTATATCAAAATTTATTACATAGTTACAAGGCACACTCCAGGCTGTTCATTACAGGATTCAGTACAATATAGTGCAGATGATGCTAAGATGACAGGAATAGCCAATACTCCAGAAGACAAGCTCAAGATCTGAAAAGATTTGACAGACTTGAACAATGGGCTCTATCAAGGTTTTATATTTAGGCAGTTAAAACCAAAGGTACAAGTACAGATTAGGCAAAACCTACTCAAAAATAGTAACATTGAGAGGGATCTTGGAGTTCTAGTGGACAATCACTTAAACATGAGCTAGCAATGTTTGGGAACAGCCAAAAAATCTAATACAATCCTTGATTGTATAAACAGAGGCATAGAATCAAAATCACATGAAACATTAATACTGCTTTATAAAGCCTTAGTAAGGCCATACCTGGAATACTGCATCAGGTTTTGATCACCACATTACAAAAAAGATGTTGAGACTTTGGAAAAAGTTCAAACAGCAACTAATATGGTTAAAGGCCTGGAGACAAAAACATGTGAAGAATAGTTGCAGGAATTGCGTATGGGCAGTTTAGAGAAAAGAAGGTCTAGGGGGTGACATGATAGCAGTATTCCACTATTTGAGGGGCTGCCACAAAGAAGAGGGGGTTAACTTATTTCCCAAAGCACCAGCAGGACAGACAAGAAACAATGGATGGAAACTAATCAAGAAGAGAAGCAACCTGGAATTAAGGAGAAACTTCTACATAGACAATAAATGACTACGTAGAACAACTTGCCTTCAGAAGTTGTAGGTGCTTCATCACTG